AGCCAGCGGAAGGTATCGAAGAGCTCATTAATCACTTCAGTAAGAATGGTAGAGTATCGGAGCAAGATCTCCGGGCACACCACATGTTTCTAGTTTCCAAGTATGAGGGTGATTACCCACAGATACCTTTCGATATTCGCGGAGAATCTACACCCGTAGCGCATGTTGTTTATGCCACTGCTGTGGCACACATGGAGGACTACGGGATAGTAGTTGATGAGTCGACAGTCGATTTCACACCATCCCGAGAGAAGGAATTTAATGGGCTACTAGAACATACATTGGAAGCAGTTGATGTGAAGCCAGGAGCGAATATATGCGGCACGAAGTGGGTAGATAAAGTAAAACCAGATGGGACGTTGAAATCCAGCCTAGTAGTGCAGGGATTCACCCAAGTTTGGTTAAAAGACTACCACGATACTTTCAGTGTAGTCGCGACGCTCACAACCTTCAGAAGCCACAGCACTAGTACAGGCTAGTGAAAACTAGGATGATGTTCATATTGCACGACTACACAGGCTAGCGAAAGCTAGCGATTAGCAGTGACTGAAGCAAAGCCGAGCACGACTTCACCGCGCTCTGCCAAGCCTAAGGGATGCTCTAAGAGTGCAAGAGGGAGAACAGTCAAGGACTAGTGAAGGCTAAGGGGGTGTGTTAGGATTATTGCAGGCTAAATACGGTTATATAGCCTTCCCGAGTCCTGAGTATGTCATGAGTTATGACTCATGACGTGTAGACTCAAGTTAGAGTCACCAGGCTCGCTATTTTTAATCATCATCAGATCTTTACGCACAGAACGCGCTACGACGCGATCACCACGGGACCTTAAGCTTACAAATTTTGGCAAATTTTAGAGAATTTTTTAGAGTTTTGGAGATTTTCCGACTCTAAAATTCAATTATAGAGATTGGCAATCTCTATAATTCTATAATTTTTAGAGAAAAAGGGGCGCTAAAATTATACTAACTGCCTCCAGCACTAGTCTAAAATAAAACTACGTATATCTTCATGGATTTCGTAGTAAAAATTGCACAACCCTAAATTAGACTACTAATTCATCTCTTCATCAGCCTTACCACGAAATTTCATGCATGGAAAAATAATAGTCATGTAGTCGACGGGACGAACAGGAGTTAACTGCCGCCTGTCAGAATGGCTTACAGTTGCCAGTAAGACGGAACCCAAAATAATGGTATTGTGTACGGCACTTTGCCACATAAATGTATCCAGTGTGGTAGCCACCACGTGCAAGCTTACGGTTGTAATCTCTATTTTCTTTGTCGGACATACTCTCCCAGTGATCTAAACCGCTCTTCACTGACTGATGAAGCATTTTTATAGTATTTGAAGCGTCCACTAGAATAACATTTGGAGATTGAGCTACATAGTTTACCAACCAGTTGTCAAAAGCTGGTCGACCAATAACGAATGGTGGCACCCTGTGCCAGTCTATGGAACTTTTTGTGGTGACGAAATAATCGATAGCATCCAGCCTCGCCCTAGTTCCTGAGCGAAATAGTGCGGAAAAATCATACATATTGGACGATATATTTTCCTTCCAAACGGAGTCGACTCTCGAGCCAATGATGACGAATTCGTGACCTTTCAAACTTTCGCTTACTTTGCTGATCGTATCGTAAAAGCTTCTGTCTGTGAGTAGATCACTGTTTACATACGTATAAGTCACCGCACGCGGGTACAATTCATAAGCATACTTGAACAGACTGTGTAGCTCTGGGACGCCAAAACGATTTCGTTGAAGGCAAAGCGACGGTACAGACACAAACTCAATTATTTCTGGGCACAAGTTTGCGAACAAGACTTCGGTGTTTGATTCAATTGTGCGTTCGAGATCTGTACAAAGTCGATCGTTACACTTTGAGGTTGTAAAGACGACGTGTTTACCCCGCGTTTGTGTTGCGGACAAATATAACGTAGTACCTACTATGCACACTATGAATAGTGCAAGACGCGCAGACTCGAGCCCTTTTCTTGTCCCCGCCCGCAAGATCATGCTGCCGCGTGCGCGTGCGCAAACGTGCGCATCGACTGCGCAGGATCCGACTACGTAGGCCGTATTCCCGCCCCACAGTGGGGTGGGGGAAATTTTACCTGCAAGATGCAAGAGCAAAATTGCAGATGCAAATTGCGGGTGCTTCGGGGCGTCTTGCGCAAGAGATTAGGGTTGGGCGCCCGCACACGCGGGTGTTTTTAAGGTGCTACAAACACGCGATTCAGGGGCGGCGGCGTCAAAGCGCCGCGCACGCGGCGCTTAGCGCCGCACCGAACGGTTCGCGCGAACTAAAGCGCGGTCGAAATTACTCTTCCTTTTACGCGGACCGTGGTTCGTCGTTTGCACGGTCGACGGCGGCGCTGGAGGCACATTCTCGTCCAAGATCCCGAGCGCGATTGTGGACGGCTGCGACGCACATGGCTCCTCTACGCGCGGCGCTGATGCCTCGGCCTCGATTGCGATATCCAGCGGTGACCTTAAAAGTTCGTCAGCGTCCTCTTCGTCAAGTTCACTCAGAATCGAGTCGTCGACGTCCGTTTCAGCGTCGTTGTCGCCATCAGAATCATAGCCCACGGCTCTCTCAACCACTTGGATGTTGCGACGCAGAATAGCGCGTGCACCGCAGTTTCGATCGCGCTTCGTCCTCTTCAGATTGTGTAGGATGAACGTAAGCTTGCGTACGCGATCGTGTTTCAAGCTTGCGCGCATATCCGTGTCGATCCTTTTCATCGCTGAGTTTGCTCGCTCCACCGATGCTGAATGTGGAATAACGGCGTTGACACGCAGTGCCAAGGGACGGAGTAGTTTATGTTCAACGCACTCCAAACGCGCTATTTCGGATATCCAGCTTTCTTCGTTTGTCCAATACTTGGTCGTCCACTTGGACTCGCGCATCAGAGTTTGCACGGCGATGACCCACTCAGTCTCCCGCCCAAAAGCGCTTGCTCTTTTCGCCGCGGCTCGAACCTCATCCTCTGGGCAATCTCGACGCAAGCCAAGAAAGTCCTTCTTCGCATTTTCTACGTCGCGTAATTGTTGTGCCGATACATTTGCGATGCCGCGGAACTGTGTGAGTGCAGCAGATATTTTCAGCAGCGGCTCACTACCCCATGTGTTGTCATCGGTAGGGATGATGTGCACCGCCGCGGAAGCGGCCGCTTCATCGTTCGCAATCTTCACTTTCGGGCCCCGCAACGATAGAATGCAACCCGTCGCTCTTTCGTTTAACGCGCTCGCTAGATGGTGAAGATCCGTGAGAATTGGGATCTTCTTGTCCTTTGCCTGCGCTCTCGCCTCGAAAACGCCAAGAGCGGCATCCTTCAAATCTGCGAGTGAATCGCGCGCCTTAGTACTGAGAAGGGCGCTATTCTTATACCAAACTTTGTCGTGTTGACGAGCAAGCCAGGAGTGTGTATCTTGCAGGATGCTGTCGTAAACCGGGAGCATTTCATGGAGTCCCGCACTACGCGATTCAAGATGCTGGACTGCGAGAGCGATTGGTTTGAATAGTGCGCCAAGCTGAGTAGCAGCATCGCGAATCGGATACTCTGACGTATTTTTGATGAACCTCACGATACGCTCGTTCGCACTAGGCGCGTTCACGTCCGCATCGGGCCGTTCCCGCTCCACCGTCGAGTTGATCATGCGCTCTGTTTCTGGCCAGTCTTCAGCATGAAGAAGCTCGACGAAAGTGATGTGATTTTCAGCAATCCTGGAGCAAACGTTGTGGATGGTCCCCCAGCGTGTGAACGACATATAGGTTAGTCCTCTTATCTTGTCCTTCGCTGAAGATCGTCTCTCGCGAATCTCGTCAAGTTTCTGACGCAATTGCTGGCGCAGCCTTATTTTTTTCATCATTGAATTGATTTCATCAATGACTGGTTTAAAAACTTTATACAAATCCTCAGCGAGGAGCGACAAACGATGACAATCACACCCGTGGGTAATAATTTTGTGTACAAGTAGATCATCATGCACCTGCTTCAATGCCGCAACGACGACCGAAGCATTATCGCCAGTGACGGCGCTTACGTTGCCTTCGTATGACTTGAAAGTTTGCACATTTTTTTTCACCACAGCCACGAGAAATTGCGTGTCTTCGCTGCGCCCATCGACAGGAATCGAATCAATAACTACTTCATGATTCAAAAGTTTGGATGATAAGCACACGTTCACGACGCCTGTAACTTTACGCTTAGACCAACCGTCCAGCGAAAGTGTAATGTGTTGGTCTCGTGACATCATGCGCATCACTGCAGAATGGGTGTCTTCGTACAGTTCTTCCAATCCATCCCCCGACATCCATCGACGGCTTTTCAGCCAGTTTACACGTTCGCGAAGGTGTCCTTGCTTCGCCATCTCGTCGATTTCGCTCCTGTGCAACAAATCAGGGCGAATTTTAGCCAAAAGCGTTGACAATGCGCATCCCTCAACCGAGTCTAGCGTAAGCCCTGCGGTGTAAATATACTCCGCGACCGCCTTGTTCATGGTCGCTCTTAAAGAACTTAATTCGTTCTTATTCTTAAAAAAGTCATCCACGGTCTTTTGCGAGTCGCCGTCCATCTGGTTGTGTTTCTTCAAGAGATTCAACACAGCGACTGGTATTTGCGCGGCGTGCTGCTTGTACTTCGCGCGCAGCCGCACAAACGCTCGCATCGGCTCGAAATCATCCTGAATTGGCAATCCGTCGTCGTACGCGCTGCCCGGATCTCCTAAAGCGCGCTTCTCCATGTAAGTTTTGATGTGGCAACTCAATCTGTGGCCTCTGGCGTTTCCAGTGAGTACGTGTCGCGTGATTCGCGTCACGTTACACTCTGTCCACTCCATGCCGCACGAGCGGCATTTGCACTTCTTATTAGAACCAGTGCCTATGCGCACAAATCGGCTGAGTAGCGCCATCGTTTCCGACAGCCCCGCCGTGGAGTACTGTTCGCCGACGAGTTGGACGTCGTTTTGAATTTGAACATCTTCTGCTGCATCAGCGTTCAGCGGCGGTTCGCTGTCGGAGGATTCATAGTCTTCGTCACCATGCGTGGGCGGAACGTCTTCCATGACGCGTGTGCACTGCGTTCGCGCGTCGTGTCGCGCCGCGCGCGCGCGTTTGACGCCGCGAGCGTTGCGCGCGAGTGTCGCGCCGAGTAATCGTATGGGTAAACAGTATAATGATCGTGTTCGGACAAATGGCGTCTTCCTACCTACTCTGGAATATGGGGGCATCTTGCACCTGCAAGATGCAAGTGCAATGCAAATTTCGGCAGTTTCGGGGTGTCTTGCGCAAGTCCCCCGCCCCTATACGTCCCGTACTAGGTTGGCTAAAATGTAAGCTTAAGGTCCTGTGGTGATCGCGTCGTAGCGCGTTCTGTGCGTACAAATCTGACGATTATTATAATGTGTAAGCTCGTTGCCTCGAGGATTTTGACTGATCTCGGTGTTGGGATTTCGCTAAATACAGCAGACGTTTGGGGAGGGGGTAATGTAACAAATCATGACTCAAGAGCTATTTACGTACAAGTAAGCGCTGGCGCGTGGTCACCATACGATGTTAAAGACATTGCCTTTAATGCCCGTGACGTGAACAATGTATACATCAGGTACCATTGACGAGTCAGGAACCGGAATTACCCCCCTCAAAAGGTATTGTCACCATAATCCTTGCCTCGAACTAGAGTCTACATGTCATGAGTCATAACTCGTCACATACTCAGGACTCGGGAAGGCTATATAACCGTATTTAGCCTGCAATAATCCTAACACACCCCCTTAGCCTTCACTAGTCCTTGACTGCCCTAAACGCCCCTCTACGAGCACCGATCATAACTTCAGTTATCGGCGACGAGTTATCTATCGCCTGAAAAACGTCTGGTACAAAACTGTTTGCCCATACAAAAGGCCTGATACACTGGTACTGGTACAAAAAAGCTCTGTACCAGAGCGTGCCGCCCTAGAAAGGACTAAGAAGAAAACCCAAAAAGTGGTAGCGTGGAACGCGCGCACGACCGCTCATAGATCGTATTGAGACGCCGTAGTAATTCTCCGTGTTGAGAAGCGTGTGATTTAGCTCACCTTGATAAACTCGAGCTGGCGTAATGAGTGGCTTACGTGCACCCAACTTTTTACACAGATTCTGGACAAAGTGGGACTACGCGATTTCCAAAGTCGTCTTCACGTGTGCCGACAGTTTTCAGTGGGACATCGGGCCAGTGAGTTCGAGTACGGCGCATTTACCCGCCATTGAATCCCCTACCCCACTGGTGACTAGCCTCTTGTTCTACTTAGTCACAGTTTTCTTGTGGTATGGTCGTTTAACCAGGAGTTCAGACAAGAAAATTAGAGAGCCTACGTGGTTAAGAAGATTCATAATATGTCATAATGCGTTCTTGATAGTCCTCAGTCTTTACATGTGCCTTGGTTGTGTGGCCCAAGCGTATCAGAATGGATATACTTTATGGGGTAATGAATTCAAGGCCACGGAAACTCAGCTTGCTCTCTACATTTACATTTTTTACGTAAGTAAAATATACGAGTTTGTAGATACTTACATTATGCTTCTCAAGAATAACTTGCGGCAAGTAAGTTTCCTACACATTTATCACCACAGCACGATTTCCTTTATTTGGTGGATCATTGCTCGGAGGGCTCCGGGTGGTGATGCTTACTTCAGCGCGGCCTTGAACTCATGGGTACACGTGTGCATGTACACCTATTATCTATTATCAACCCTTATTGGAAAAGAAGATCCTAAGCGTTCCAACTACCTTTGGTGGGGTCGCCACCTAACGCAAATGCAGATGCTTCAGTTTTTCTTCAACGTACTTCAAGCGTTGTACTGCGCTTCGTTCTCTACGTATCCCAAGTTTTTGTCCAAAATTCTGCTCGTCTATATGATGAGCCTTCTCGGCTTGTTTGGGCATTTCTACTATTCCAAGCACATAGCAGCAGCTAAGCTCCAGAAAAAACAGCAGTGAAGATGGCGAGTTTGAGGTGGTGAAGCACGATTCATACGCAGCGCAAAAATTGTCACAGTTTCAATTCCAAATAAAATTGTTTTCAAGCTTTGTTGCGCCAGCTTCTTGATGAGCATGCTCGAAGTAATACGTGCTACAAAATTCACTTATAGATAGCTCACTTCATTCCTTTAGATAGAAGTCCTAAACTTCGATGTTCTGCGCATCCCTTCTTTGCACTCCCCGAGCTCGATTTCAAAGTTGCCTCGCGACGCGACGCAGTTCGTATCGCGAGTGCGATCCCTTCATCTGATGGATCATCTAGTGCTTCGAACAGAAATTGAAGCGCTTGTCGTTCGGCCAGGGTAAGTTCAGGATGCCAAAAGCGGATGATGAGGACGTAACGTGTTTTCGAATCGCTTTCATTCGCAGTACTGTGAACAAAACTTGTATCTACTATCATTCCACCGCCGTTCACCCAGTCCTTTTTGAATTCACCAACTTTCATCCAACACTGGCCTTCTGGCACGTCCAATCCCAAGTGTGAAGTGAGTATGAAGTTTGTGTAGTCACTGTGGGGTTTGATTCCCGTACTCGGCGCTTGTCGAGCAAAAAACGCTTCAACAGAAGGCACATTGTGGTTTTTGAGAATTTCAACCGTTTTGGGAAACAGAGATGCGTTTGTTTCATCCCAAACACATCGGTCCTGCAGCACCAACGTCTTCCAGTCTGGGCCATATGCGACGGCCTCTTCTCTAGCTGCTGCTGCCCAAATGCGATTACCAAATGTCGAGAGCTGCGGATTCGTTAATGCGCTAACCAGTTCATCTAGAATGACTGGGTAGTCTCTTTCCAGTCCTCTCAACCACTCGTAATCCAGGTCACTGACGTCGTGAAAAGGCTTCGCAGACAGTCCCTCGATGTATGAAGACGCTTTCTGCAGTCCTTTTCCAGGATGGAAACGGGTGTACTCTTGACCAGTAGCCGCGAACGCGAGGCTGTCTAAAACACGTTGTGATGTTTTACCGTATCGCGCTCTCATGGCATCATGTATGCGCGAAACATCGCCAACTCCAGGGTTATGGGCGGTCACTCGAGTTCCAAACGCTCGTTTTCGCGCACGAACATATCCTATGCGACAGCTTACGTGTATTTTAGGGCAAGCACCGAGTGAAATCATGCCTTCTCCATGGTTCGCATAGGATCCCAGATAGAGCGCACTTAACGATGCTTGCATACTAACTTGGCGTGGGTTTTGTGGGAAGGTCAACTGCGCGTTGCTTGCGTTGTTAGCTAGAAGGCTGGCCTTTCCCGCCTAGGTTGGTGGTATCACGATGAGTGGGTCGTCATACCGGGTATAGGTTAAAATTAAATATGCGACCGATATAAGCGTATCGCCGCGACGCGTCGCGGCATCGCGCGTCGCGCGATCCGCACAATTTTTTGCGAGGCGATGCGAAAGCTAGCGAACTCGTGACACGCTGAGTTTGGGGACGAACGGACGTCGACGTCGTAACTCCCAGCCCGCGGATCTGAATCGTTTGAAAATGTAAGGGGAAGATTCCTTAACGCTACATTCTCACAACTCGCCGACGCTTGGCCGATTTCAAAGAATCAAAGAATAATTACAACACTAGTATTACACTACATCTTTCCCATCCGTCGGCGTCGGCTCGAGTGACGTTTGCGTCTCCGTCAGCGGCTCGATGTGGGCGATTTCGGGCATTTCTGCGTCAATTACGTTGACGGGCGCTGGCATCGTAAGGGTGGGGGAAATTTTATCTGCAAGATGCAAGTGCAAAATTGCAGGTGCAAATTGCGGCAAGTTTTGGGGCTCTTGCGCAAGTCCCCCACGCCTACTGGCATCGGTACGCCGGGCAATTCATCGCGTTGCTCCGCGTGCTGATGCCTACTTTCAATCTCTTTTGATATTGCCTGCGTAAGTTCAGCGACCAGGTCAGCTTTTTTCGGCTGACCCTTTGGATGAAGTCTCAAAACGCTGCGATGGAGCGTGATGAGCTGCGCTCGAGTACACGCGCGCAGATCGTTGAGAGACTCGATTCGCGCCAATATTGTGGGCGCGTCTTGAATCGCTTGACACAAGAGGTCTTCCTCCTTGCGTTTTTTGTCTTGCCGCTTCCTTTCAGCATCCTCGACCGCGCGTTTGGCGTTGTTGACCCCGAGTTCGGCTCTCGCCATCGCGGCGTCGCTCGTGACGCCACTGGGAAGGAATGCAACGTCGGTCGATCTGATCTTGACCGCGTTGTCTTTCACGAAATCAGTCACCAGCGTCATCAGCTTTGTGTGTGATGTCAAAATCTCGTGTAAAATCGGCCGTCTTGGCCACCATTTGCCACTGGGCGCGAATTTACACCGTGCGCCTTGAGATGCTTGCTCAGAACGACTACCGGGTTCGGCGACTTCAACTTGAACTTCTTCGCCACCTTGTCGAGAGACCAATAGTTGGGATCTATCCTCGCCAACCCAGCGTTTTTCGTCACGTAAAACTTCCTCGAAGCGCTTAAGCGACGCAATTCACTGCGTCGACGTCTACTTTTTCTCTTCTGCGCCACGAGCTCCCTTCCCGGTTCCCGGTGCGACTCGCGGCCGTTGGATGTCAGTCCCAGCGAGTCCCATGAGCGCAAGCGCAGCAAGACTACGTGAACTCAACGTTCGTCAGTCCTCAGGTCGTGAAACCGCCGCGTCGCGACGCACTCGCGAACGATCGTTCGGAGCGACGGGCAACGAGAATCGCGCGCGAAACGTGAAATCTCTCGCGAACAACCGCACCCGTCGTTGTCACCGTCGTCGTCAGAATCGCCATCTGACGCTTGATCTGGACGAACGCGTAGGTCTACCATCGCGCACACCGTGTTAACCCATTCCTGAGCGCCGCGCGCGTCGCTAAGTGCCGCGCCGTCGTCGTTAACGGAGGATTGAATATAGCCAAGAGTCCAACCGCGTCACCCGAACGAGCATAACTTTGCGAGTACAGCACCGAATCGAGGAAACGCAAGTGCGTTCGATAGCCCCTAAAAGGAAGCTTCGCACACAACTTTTAGAAGGCACAAAAAACGAAATTCGGAAAAGTTACAAGAATCCTCCTTTAAGGAGACCGAAGTCGCATTTTTAATTTTAACCTATAACGCAATTAATTTTGCCTATTTTCTCCTAAGGACCCCTCTATCAGCGCCAGAACCTCAGATCGACCTGATTGCGTGTCAGTGGAAGGCTCCTGCATCCTCCGTCGTTGCGCCGCATACACCGCCGCCGAGGCCCCGCGCGTTCGCGCTACTCGAACGCGGTGTACTGTGTGAAACAGCTCCATTGGCTGACCCGTTGGATGCGAATGAACGCGTCCAACTTACGAACGCGAGATGTCTGGGCACACAACCTCGATGAGGAGTGCACACTGATTCGTGAGATAGTTTCCGCATACCCATTTGTTGCTATGGATACCGAATTTCCAGGGATTGTGAGTAACGTTGACTTGTCTTTCTTATCTTTATCTAAAGTTTTGATTTCCAGGTTGCACGGCCAGTCGGGTCTTTCAAGCACCAGTCGGAATTTCAGTACCAGACTCTACGTTGTAACGTGGATATGCTCAAACTGATCCAGCTTGGCCTGACTTTTACGGATGCAGATGGTAACTTACCACTGATAGATGGATACCACTGCATATGGCAGTTCAACTTCAGGGAGTTCAGCTTAAAGGACGAGCTTTACGCTCAAGATTCGATCGAGCTGCTGAAGCACAGTGGTATCGATTTCAATACGCTCGAAGAACGTGGTATAGATGTCGTTCAGTTCGGCGAGAGTTTAATGGTTAGTGGTGTCGTGCTAAACGAAGATATTCGGTGGTTGACATTTCACAGCGGTTATGACTTTGGATATCTCCTCAAGTTGTTAGTGAATGCACCATTGCCCGAGAACGAAACAGAATTTTTCGAGTTGTTGCGGTGCTACTTTCCCTATATCATCGACATAAAGCATCTCGTACAGTGCGTTGGCAACATGCACGGTGGACTCAGTAAGCTCGCGGAGCACCTGAGCGTTGCAAGAATAGGACCTCAGCACCAGGCTGGCAGTGATAGCTTGCTAACTGCTCATACCTTTTTCAAATTGCAGAAAACACATTTCATGAATGTTGACCTCAACCAGTTCGTTGGTACTCTGTATGGTTTGGGACAAGACAGAGAGCTGATGTCCAGCTCACAGGTGTAGAGAATATTTAGCAAAAACTTGTTATCGAACGCGACATCATTTGTTGTTTTATCAAGCATCGTGGTTGTCTCGCTCACTCATTCTCATCGTGATCATGTGTAAGCTTACGACACTATCGGTGATCGCGGGTGCGGGCGCTTTTAGCGTGTAAAAATCTGAAGTTTGATTATGATTACATTACGAGAGCCCATAATCTCGCTGAGTCCCTGGTCTTATGGGTCACGACTAATTACGTATCCTAGAACTCAGGAAGGATATATAATTGCGTTTAGCTTGCAATAATCCTTACATGATGATACTCACAGTATCACGACCATCTCATCGTCCGGGTTGGGATGTATCATTATCACATCACGAGTACAAGTACTTGTATCACGACATGATGATACTATCACTCCTTCCCAGTTCATCTAGAGCATCATTAGCTGGTTCACCTAACTTTTTATGGTGGCCGAAGAGTAATTAGAGGGGATATGATGTACCTTATCAACCTACGGTGGTACTCGTAGTTCTAACACCTACTCATAGAGGATGGACAAGCTTGTATATTTCGACACAGCCACCTTTTCTCGGGTTGTCTGTGCAATCTGAACAGCAGAAGTTGGAGCTTTCACCAAATGCACTTGCTTCTGTAATTCACTTTTATCCTTCCTCCTCACCCGATCAGATATTCCTTTCATGCGCTGTTCGTAATGCCTTTTATCCCTTTTAGTACGAATTTCATCAACAGTCCTAAGGGCTGCCAGAGTCTTGTGAGTCAGTTCCCGATTGTATCTTACAGGTCGATTACGCCGCCGCTCGAAATTGAATATGTTATCAGCACTTAAATCCTTGCCGTGAATCGCCCGATAGGCCTTTGTCCATTTAACCTTCCGAGGGTTCCGTTTCATCTTGAAGTTCTTGTGGCATTTCGAGCGACAGAAGCGGAACATCTTTGAATCGTTACGCACGAAGCATATTCCGTGACCAGGATATACGGTGGAGCTACAGAACCAGCACTTCTCAAGTCGCATGCGTCAGCTTCCCGAGTGCCAAGTAGCGAAAAAAGCGAGCAGACAGACAGACCTACTTCGAGTGGCGGCGCCGGCTCCACAGTAGAGCCTCTACTACGCAAAATGTTTTCGACATTTGCCGATTTCGATTTTCGATTTTCGATCATTCATAGGTTTTAGGTGAAGTGAATACGAATCGACAGTGGATACACACTAATGCATACAAGTAAGCGCTGGCGCGTGGTCACCATATAGGTTAAAATTAAATATGCGACCGATATTCCTTTAAGCGTGTCTCGTTTCAACGCTCGCGGTAGCGGTTCGACGACGGCAAATTTCGGTAAAATCGAGCAATTTCATGTAATTTTTTACTAACCTCCGTTCGGAAAGTGATGCACCGGTTCGTGACTCATGAATTCGTGGTGGGGTCTTTTTTTTTCGCGCTTTTTTCTTGAGTTACAACTCAGGGCAAATCGAGGGTGTCGCAACTTTTGCAACATAAATTTACCGTGGGAGAGAAGAAGGGAGTGAGGCATGCAGACCTTCGTAGTCCAAAGTGCGCGCCACCGGATCGTTTGCGTCGTGCAAATCCAAGGAAAGATCGAACCTTGCGTCTTACTTAACCCCCATTCTCTGCATAGGTCTGTCATCGCAACTTGCCCAGTCTTCGTCGCGAAGTGAGCCGTCTTGGCGAAAGCAGCTCGGTCGTCGTCGCTCATGTGTTGCCTCCCTCGCGCTTTCACGCGGCGCGGAGCCTTGAACGGGCTCAACAGAGGACCGAGAACTGTGCGCAAGGGTGTTTTCTCACGCTTCCGCAGCCTCTCGCTCACCGGTCGCGTGCGCGCGTCGCCGTGAACCTGCAACTTCGTCCGTCGAGGCGCGCGATTAAAACTCAAGGACGTGCGCTCTTCCTCGCCCCTGGGCGCTCGGTGCCTTGGTTTAGCAGACCAAGCGGCCAAAACATGTGAAACTTGGCAGGCGAGCTCTCCG